CAATTGTTGTGAATTCTAACCCTAGTAATAATTTTCTCGTGTAAACAAGTCAAGGACTCGCTAAACTCTACAACCGAAGAAAAATTATCATCCAGGATAACAACATCTGAGCTCTCTTTTCCAACTTCAGTCCCTTGAATGCCCATATAAATGCCTATTTCAGCCTATAATACGGGATGGTAAAAGTGCAGTCAATCACAAGATCAGCATGCAAACTCAAGCACAGAACATGGCATGCTTGCTTCTGTAAGTAACCATGCTTCCTACTGTGAAACCCACCTGATACCTTCTCAGTGTTCCAGTCACATCACTGAAAATTGCTTTTGCAGAGCCCATACTTTCACATGCTGAAAGCCTATGAACCTGAATATCTATGCTGTTAGATAAAGATCAGAGGAATTTATAGAAGAAAACGACTTCAAGGAAAATTGAGGATGATACTTGCCCAGGCTTTAGCTGCCATCTTTTTCCACACTGCATATGCCACACTGGAAAGCCATGGAGTACAAAAATAAGATGAAAATGGAAGTGAGATAGTGATCACTAGACCAGCATGCAACAATATTATAGAGATGACCTCTACTTACATCAAGATAACAGCCAATAGAAGTCCCACAAGAACAGCAACAACCACAATTCTAACCTGAATGGTTATACATTTAGTCAGGAAATACATAAAACATAAACATAAAACAAATCCAGGGACTTCACTTACTGCAACAGTAAGGACCGATGTCTCGCCTTTGATAAACTGAACACTTCCATCTGGATTTTTCATATCTCCAGGATTGAATCTAACAAATTTATTGAAATTGTAGCTGGTAAGTTGGTACACAAGTAATTTTACAATGCGTAATTGAATAATAAAATTTACCCTACCGGCCCAAAAGGACGCCAAGCACAAAAGTAGCTACAACAATGCCTATAAAAGCTGCAAGTTTGTTCACTCGTACCTAGCACAATCATTAAGAGAGGACTTTAAAGCTGCATCAAATCACATTTATTGACATTAGCTACGTACAGTCAAAGTAACGAGAATTGAGATGAAACCTGCAAGGGATTCTCTTCACCAGTATCCTCTGAGATACGTGCCATCAACAATCCTCGTTCAGTATTGATTCCAACACCAATTACCTGAAAATGGCGAAGAAGATATGAATCTACAAGGTGGTAAATTCAAATAACAAAGACCAAATTATTTTTAAAATTGTATGTTATAAGTATTTGTTTTACAAGAAAAAAGTGTAAAGAATATTTATTTTTTGTCAGTGGACAACAGAAAATAAAAGTAAAATTGATTTTCTTTATCAATTAGGACTATTTTAGTAAAATACACTATTCAAAGTTTTGAATAGACAATTGCTCCTTCTATTCTAAAAAGATTATCCCTTTTGATTTTTCACATATTAAGAACGTTATTATCAATACTATAGATTAGCTTTAATTAGAATCATTTAGCAGTTGGCATCATGTGTAATTTTAACTACTTTGCACTTATTATATAATAAAAAAGACCATATATAGTTTCACATGCCGAAAGCCAATACGAACCTGAATATCTATGCTGTTAGGTGAAGATGTTTCATAAACTAGAACTCAAATTGGAAGAAAGCGACTTTGAGGAAGATAGAGAAAGATCATACTTTGCATCATTTTCAGCTTTGACTATGCCAGATTGGAAAGCAATAGAGTACAAAAATAAGATGAAAATGGATATGAGATAGTGATGACTAGATCAGCATGCATCAATATCTATGCTGTCTGATTTAAGCTTCTTTCTGGGCATATTGTTTCTTCGCTGCCCAAAAGTTGGAATCACAGCAAATAGTCAACCAGTTGACTTTTACTTTTACCAGTATGTCTTCCTTAACTTTCAGCTACCTTTGTCAAAAAAAATTTCAAAACCTTCGCATATAAACTCATTTCACTAAATCAAACTCAGATTACGAGCAGTAAAAGAAGATGGTTCTAAAAAAATTAGAGCGTGACGTACCAATTTGCCGTTCCCCTGCCAAACCTGAGAGTAACTAATTCCGCCTGAAACAACAAGTAATCATCGATCAAACCACAAAAGATCGGGTGGTGTGTGCAGCGATGTCGGAGGCGTTAGTTACGGAGAAAGTTACAGGTAGCTAGGGTTTGTTTTTGTTAGAAAATTGATGTATCAAACAACCGATAATAAGCGATATAAATAATAATAACAATAATAGAATAGTCCGGTTAGGTTGCCATGATCGGCCGAGACCGCACGGTGGTGGGGGCAGCTAAAAGAAGAAAAAAGGGGTGGGTTTAGGAAAGTTATTGACAGTTCATGTGGAGCGTGTGGGTGGAGAGAGAGTACTTTTGTTGAAAAATGAAAATTATGCAGATAGGAGACTTCCTGATACTTTCTTCCCGCGCAACGACGGGTTCCCAACGAACAACAGAAAAATATTTATGGTGGGTCCCACAGTTATTTATAACCTGATTTAGTCCTTTAAGTCAGGCCCATGAGCCAGAGCGGGACAAGAAATCTAGTTTTAAACATCCATGAATTTTTTTAAGGGCCTGAAGAGGGGAAGATTTTATTTCTTTGTGAAATCAATACATGTTAACATGTAGTATTTTCTGTATAAGTAGTGATATTGTGTGCCAAAATTAAAAATTACTTTCTTATCTCAAGTAATTTGGATATTATTTTTGAAAATAGATTGAATTTCATTAGCATATGTGAAAATTTTTAATTTAAAATAACAAAAATTAGATTTTTTTAAAACAATTTTTGTCAATAATAATTTGAATTAACGGTGCACTACCAAAAGTAGACTAAATTATAAAAAAATAATTAAAATGGAGGACATAACTGTTAGGTATAAAAATTTAAAGAATAAGTTGCAATTTCTTTGAAAATTGAAGGACATAACGTAGATTTGTGTAGCTCAAAATTTAAAATTGATTCTTTCATGAAACCGTGTGGTCGCGGGCAAAGGCCATAGGCCATTTGGATCCCTTCGGAGAAATACTAAAATCATTTTTTTATATCATCCCGCCAGTCTAACTCTTCTGCTTATGCATTTTTAGGTCATCCTTTACTTTACTTTTTCGTGCTTTAGTTTTTTTTTAAAAAAATATTTATTATTTTTTTATAAAAGCTAATTTAGATCATTTGAGTTAGAGTAAGAATTCCATAGTCGATAATGCAATTATTTTGAACTATTTAGATTATTTTAAATAATAAAAAAATTCAATTTTTTAAAAAAAACAAATATAAATTTGGTTCAGATTTAGTTATACTTTTGATAAGTCACATTAACCAAACTATTAAAAATTAAAATTAAATTCTTATCCTTGCTTTCATCAAAAAGTTCGTTGATGATGTGATTCTAATATGTGTTATAATTATGATTTTTAAATTACAATCACAAATGTGAATATTGTTGTAACTAGCAAATAATCATAAATTTTATGTCTTAGATCATAGCAAAATTGGGTGCAAAATATTTAAAACTCAAAAATCAAGAAATTTATTAATTTTTTGATTGATTTTGAACTTGCTCACAAACATGTCAAGTTAATTTCAAGATAATGTTCAAATTTAATTGATTAATTTTTCGATTGAATTCGAACTTATTCACACACATTAAAAAACAATTTCTTCGAGAATTGACTTGGAATCAAAAGCAATCCATGTATGTCACTCGATTCCGCCTAATCGGCTTCCACTGCATTCCCTTTATGTAGATATTTGTTTAGTTTCTTGAGGCATATTGCTGGTCAAAATATGCCACCGAATCCAAAATTAGAAAACGATTTTAGATGTGATTGGATAAATATAAATTTAGATACCAATACTATGTTCTCATGAACTTTTGGGGACCGAAAAGTATGTCGTTCTTTCTCCGTGGGAATACAGACAAGTCTGTGAAGTCATCTTTTCTCCCAAAGAAAAATGAACCAATTGGGAAGAGACCGACAAAAACAGAAAGCCAATAGTCTAAATCATTTCTCATAATCCATTGAAACATGACAAAACATAAAGAAAAATTGTGCCACATTATTATAATTAAAAAATGTTCTTGTTTGTTGTGCCAAAATTATTATTCAACAAACACATCGAGGAGACAATTTATCACTTTTGAAGGACATATTTAAAAAAATTCATATATGTATGAGATCTAATATGAACTTTTGGGAGTCCATGGTCCTTCCTATTGAGAAGATATTTATGACTTGGTTAATAACTAGTTAGTTAGTTGTTAATGATTAGTTAGTTAGTTTAATATTATAATAATCCATTGATTAGTTGGATTAGTTAAATAATATAACGGATGAGTCATAGAGGATAAAACCTCACTGTATATATACAAAATTAAGTTATTACACCGGAATAATAGATGAGAAGTAGCATTTTTCCTTTTCTTATTATTAATGCTTCAGTCGTAACGAAGCTCGCTTCGGAATCAATTATGTCTTTACTTAAAATAACGTAGATTAATTTTTCGTGTTTTAGTTTTATTTAAAAAATATTTATTATTTTTTTAATAAGATAATTTAGATCATTTGAGTTAGAAGGATTCCACGAGTCTATAATACAATTGTTTTTAGCTATTTATATTATTTTAAATAATAAAAAAACTCAGCAAAAAAGAAAAAAATTGGCTTTTTTGGAAAAAATCAAACACAAATTTGGTTTGGGATTAGTCATGCCTTTGATGAGTTTGATTAACCAAAAACCGAATGCTCACTTCTATTTTAATCAAAAAATTCATTGGCCATGCAATTCCAATCTATATTATGATTATGGTTTTTAAATTACAGTCATAGATGAGGATGCTATTGTTGTGAGCATGTCATCAAAAGTGTGTTATGTAACCATCATAGCAAAATTAAGTGCAAAATATATTAAATAATATGTCTATAAGTAATTAATTTAAAACTACATGATATAAATTTAGAAAAAATGATAAAATTTTAAAATATTTTTCTAAGTGTAACAATTGTTAGCCATGACAGAAACAACACATGGATCATTAATTATCATTACAAAATGATTGTTTCAACCACAACTTATGCAAAATTCTTCATATATTATATTAAAAAAAAGACTATTTTCAAAACCACGCTTATGATCATTGTTCAACTATCGAATGATTTTTTATGTGAAATGAAATGATATCCAGAAAAAATCTTTCTATGATGCCTTTGTATGAAAAATATAACAGAATCGAGTTGAGTATCATGACAAGCTTCAATTCAAGATAGTGTTTTAAGTTTAGTTTATTAACTTTTCGATCGAGTTCGAACTCTTTCGCCAGCATAAAAAATTAAATTAATATAATATTTCTAATATAATCAATTTTAATATATTATCTTTAATTAGATGATTTAGTAAGTTGGCCTCAAGTGTAATTTACTGTTACTTACTTTGCATTTATTATATAATAAATTATTTTTTTCAATAAAATATTTGAAAAATATTAATTAAAAATATTTTTTAATTTAATGAATATTTCGAATCAAATAGTAAATCATCCAAGTTGCTAATTGAGAAACTTGCTAGAAATTTCCTTTCTTTCTTCCCTTCCTAACTAAGAAATCACTCGGACCTGTTTGAAACCTCTAATTTATCTGTTGATTTTTTTTTTTTTCTCTCTTTGACTGTTGAGAGTAGTCCAGATGGAGAGTTTACCGCACACAGTTTTTGGGGTCTGAAAAGTATGTCACCTTCTCTCCCAGTTTTAGGCGTGCATGGGGTGATGTCATGCTCTCTCCAATGAAAAATGAACCAGTCGGAAAGAGATGGACTAAAAATGAAAAACAATAGCTTAAATTATTTTCTCATAATCAATTGAAAATGACAAAACATAAAGAAAAAAGTGTGGCATTAATCAAGTTATTATTATTATTATCATTATCTTGATGAAAGATAGTAATTTTTTATAATATAGACTAAATAAATATAAAACTATTTTTATAGTAACTTCATATCAAAAACTAATAAAAAAATTGTAATTTGTTATATTAAAAAATTAAACAAAATGTTTTTACAATAATAACAATAAAAAGGACATTTTGTTAATAATGTGATTCGGATATGTGTTATGACTATAGATTTATAGTTTTTAAACAAGGATGGGGCCCGCGCTTCCCTGGGACTAAACATCATCCAGGTAAAGGTTTTTTTTTTTTTTTTTTTGCATACAAAAGCCCATTCATTTTCTTCTTAATTTCTATCATGCCACAAAGTGGAATTATGAAATTTCATATTTACCCTTCATTGATTTGCTTTTGATTTGCTTCTTTTGTTTTTTTATTGATAATTTCCTTTTACTTTAGACAAAGCATTTAATGCTTCGTCATTCATTGTTTTTTTTTCCTCTTTCTTTGTTTTAGCAGGCAAGAATTGCACTGAAGAGTAAATTATAAATTGGTCCCTGTTGTTTCCACAAACAAATCAATTAGTTTCTATAGTTTTAAAATTTTATTATTTAATTTTATTTGCATTTTTGATTTATTTTTTTCCTTTAAGATATAGAAAAGAAATAAAAAAATAAGTGAAAATATAAAAAGATAGATGAAAAAGAAAGAAAATGGGACATTGGGAAATTGTTATGCACAGGAAGTTTCAAAGGCGCGCGGTAGGGTGCAATAAATTTTTAAAAACTGCGTCCACTGTGCATTGATTCTTTTGTATATGTTACTATTTTAATCCCTATTCTTTGTAATTATTCTAAATTGAATCCTCAAGACATATTTTTTATTGATAATGAATTCTTAAGACATTTTCCATTCCAAGTAAATTATAAATTAGTCTTTATAGTTTTTGAAAAACAAAAATCATTAATATCTTTTATTTTAAAAATTAAATAAATTAATTTTTGAAATAAGAAGTAAACTTAAAAATCTAATTTATAATTTACTCTTTCAATTCCTTTGAATTCTACAAAGGAAAAACAAATGAATTAAGAAATTTTTTTAAAATACTCAAATAGTAACTATTAATATTTATTCCATACACTCACTTTAAAGAGAAGATAAATACGAAAAAAAAAAGAAAATTATATCTAAACCCATTAAAAGTTGTAAAAATATTCCTTCTCATTTAAACTTAATATTTTTTAATTCTCTTTTTTTTTTTTTTTGTTGTGTGTGTGTTTAACTCTCTCCTCAATATATATATATTATTTTTTTTAATTATTTTTTGGCAGTTAGGAGTATCAGAAACTTCTCTCGAGCTGAGAGCCCTTCCCTACGCATTGTTTTATATTTTGTTGCTCTGTTTTGTTCATGGGCTGATAATGCCTTGAGCCAGCCTTCGTCCATTTAGGGGCCCTTATCAGCTGAACGTTGGGTTTAGATAATTGGTTGCTTTTCATTGATGCATGACACAAGCTTATAAAAAATTTCCTAGAGTAAAATTCCCAAAAGAACATAGGAGAATAATCCAACATCATGAAAAATAAAAATTTAAATCTCAGAATTCCTCTGGCACCTGAAACGACTAAATAAAAAAAACCTACCAAAAAAAAATACTTGCCTCCTTAAAATGAGGTCCCACCATAGTTAACTTGTCTTTCCATTGCCAAGACTTTATACTTAATATCTTCTATATCTTGCAGCAACCCCCACACCGTGGTCTTATACCTCAAAATGTTTGCTGGAATCAGGCATTTGACATTTGGTCTACTGCAGCAAAGGTTTACAAGAGTCTTTTGCGTGAAGTTGGTTTTGGTGACTTATTGAAGATAAAACCCATTATGATTAGCTTGCCACGCTATATTTGTGCTTTAGCAGAACGATATTTCTCCGAGACTCATACATTACATCTTGGTACTTTCGAAATTGGTCCTACACCTTTGGCCCGGACTCGATTACTGGCATTCAGTTTGTTGATGATTTCCTTAACCCTCTAGACATTACATCTGCAGATTGTGCTAAGCTTCTTAGACTTGAGGGACCTACAGGGGTTATCTTCGAGGGCAAAGTTCAGCTAGATGCTTTGTGCCCTAGTAATTTGGACTTCAGTAAGGATCCAACTACCGATGATAGAGATTGGATGTATCCCCTGAAAATAATTATCTCTCAAGGGCGCTTGTAGAAATTATCACCTGAAAATTGAAAACGTTGGTTAGGAATTAGGATCATCAAGAAAGTTTTGATCGACTCTTAAAAGAGAATCGACAAAAAACACAAAGAAAAACTTTAATTGAGCTTCTTCTTAAGCTAAATGTTGGGTAAGATCATACTTAGGCTTATCCTTAACATAAGGGCTCAGAGCATGTTAGGATATACTTATGGATTGGAAAAGATCTGCCTCACTATAGCTCGACCATGATTGTGGACTGGCAAGTTGAAAACGAAATTAAACGACACATCTTAGGTAGAAGAAGCAAACTCCTTTTCAAAGTTGTATTTGGATGCATTTTCATTTTTTCATCTCTAAATCAATGGATAGAAGTGAGTGAAATTTGAAAGGGCCAAATTAAACCGACCTATTTTAATAGCTAATCACATACATATATTTATGTTAATGCAATTTGTGTTATGATTTATTAGGTTTTAGTAAATTTGAAATAAAAAAAACATATACAAAAAAATCAACATAACAATTATTACTCATTCTTTTAAAAAATATTGTCATGTTTACCTTCTACACAATTTGAAAAAGTTATTAATTATTATGTTATATCAACATTTTTTTTTCATATTTTTTTTAAATCTTTTTTTCAAGTGATAGTTATCAAATTTAACTTTGCATTTTATGGAACCAATTATAAGTTTTTTAAAAAAACTATAAAAATTAAGATGGTAAATTAAAAGAAAAATCATTAAGTTAATTAATGATCGAGTTTAAAAAATAAACACAAAAAAATAATAATATATTAATGAAAATAGTTTACTATCAAAATATTTACTACCAAAATTTCGATATTTCGATATGCAATGTTAAGTTTTAAAGATGAATGAATATTTTGTGTAAAAAATAAAATATCCTTTGAAAATTTTATATTAAAAAGTATTTGTTTGTATAAAGAAAACATGTAAAAAATATTTATTTTTTGTTAGTAAACAACAAAAAATAAAAGAAAAAATAATCAAAGTTAATTATTATAGTATATCAATATCTTTTATATTGAAGGATGGTTTTATTGATAAGAGTTTTATTTTGATCAAACAAAAAAAGTAAAAAATTTAGTTTCAATTGATGTAATATCTCATTCAAAGATACTTAAATAACTGTAAATGTATAATAAGAAATAAAAAATAAGGGTTTTACTTGAGTTAAAAGTGTTAGAAGAATGTTTTAGTTTTATTCCCCTTGTTATTCTCGGTTCAAAAATTCAGCAACATAGAGCCTTTTTCTTCCTTTTCTTTTTGGGCACATAAGGAAAATGGATTGTGATTATTATATATATGTTACCTTTTGACGATCAAGATGTACTGGGCTTACGATTGAAAAAGAAGAAACCGAGCCTACAACAAATTATTACATATACATATATTTGTAATACCATTAAGTAAAAATATTATTATATAAATGCTACCTTTTGCGCCGCTAATTTTGCAACTTTTTTCTGGGCATCAATGAACTGGTTCTCCCAGAATTTTCTTTTCCCTTCCACTGCCTCAGCCAGCTCCTTCCAATGTTGGCTTTCTTCTTGGACAGTCTTTAGCGTGGTTTCAAGACTTTGACATTTCTCCTTCCACTTATCTGACGTATCTCTGAGAGACTGTAAATCCTATGGAGTCATCATCACGTGCCCATCTCTATGGACTTTGAAAAATGGCTCCAGAAACCTGTATCCCAAGGTAAATCGTCCAAGGACCTGCTCCAATTTGACTATCCTTCCCAATGAGTGAGTACGAAACCAATCAGCATAATCGCGTCCCTCATCCTCTACCAAATCCCAAGCATCGACCCCCCTATGAAGCTCGAGGAAAGGTGTCAAGACCCAATTCAGTCACTGGTCGCATACAGGGAAGGTGCTCATAAGCCCAGAATAACAAGAAAGGGTAAAATCCCGAAAAGGAACCGCTGCATTGAGATGTTTTCACCCTGATACCCCTCAAGAAAGCAGAAAAGGTAGTTGCTCCCCAGTCATACTGATTGATTCCTGAATATTGCTCATTGCAGAAACTAAGTGAATTGGAACCATCAAATCAGTCCCACTGAAAAAACAAGAACCAACAAGATACACAATCAGCCTTCTAAACATCCAATCTCTATCATCGTTAGTTGGATCCTTACTGAAGTCCAGAGTACTAGGGCACAAAGCATCTAGCTTAACTTTGCCCTCGGAGATAACCCCTGTAGGTCCCTCAAGTCCAAGAAGCTTAGCACAATCTGCAGATGTAATGTCTGAAGGGTTAAGGGGATCACCACAAAACCGAATGCCAATAATCACAGTCCAGGCCAAAGGTGTAGGACCAATTTCGAAAGTACCAAGATGCAATGTATGAGTCTCAGAGAAATATCGTTCTGCTAAAGCACACATATAACCCGGCAAGTTAATCATAATGCGTCGTATCTTCAAGAAGTCACCAAAACCAGCTTCACGCAAAAGCCCTTGTAAACCTCCGCTGTAGTAGACCATATGTCAAATGCCAGATTCCAAACATTTTGAGGTGTAAGACCACGAATAGGAGTTGGCTGCAAGATATAGGAGATAAATTTAAGGATAAAGCATTAGTAACACAAAAACAAGTGAATTATGGTGGCATCTTTTGGCATTCAGCTAGGTTTTTTATCTAAAGCGCATGACACAAGGCTTATCTATGAGGCTTCCTACAGACGCTGCTAAGTTGGAAACTGTTATAGAAGATAGAAATTGATTTTGGCCCAATGCTAGATCAGATGCTAGGCTTGAAGTGCAGGGTACTATTATGGTGTCCTTATTTTTTATATGGTTTTTGATGATAAAGTAGCATGGAAAACCAGTCTAAACGGTAAATTTACAGCTAGAAGTGCTTCAAAGCTGTTGAAAAACAAGGGAACTAGAATTCCATGGCCTAAACTGGTCTAGAGTCCTTCAAATATTCAAAGGCAACAGTTAATTTCATGGCTTGCTTTTCTAAATAGATTGTCTACAAGAGTTAGACAGGTTTGTGTGGGGAGAAACATTAATTGCCCATATTGGCTCTAAGATTGTTTGGGGTACTATTATGCTCAAATGTAGCTTTAATAGAGTGATTGGCAGCTGGATTATGGAGTTTCAATGAGCTATGGAGCACCTGCAGAAGAGATGTATTTGTTATGGATTCAGGTTTTGTTTCTTTTTTATCAATTAAAATTTCCTCGTTTATAAAAAAAGGAAAAAAAAATCTATAGGATCTTGCAAGTCACCCCTTCAGAATGAAAACACAAAGGAACAGAAAGAAAACATACCCGACCTAGACGAATGTAAATGGAGGGATGATTTTGCAATCCAGTCAAAAGAGGCGTAGGTTGTATTGCCTTTTTCTGTTCATGAATGGCAGCCTTTGCACCACTGTGACGATGACCTTGGCTCCTAACTTTTTTAGCTCCAGAACTACCTTCTTGATCACATGAATTGCTGTTTTCAGCCTTGGCATCTTCTCGAGCCTTAGGGGCACTGTCCATAATAGCAACATCATCAGAGTCACTACTGGAGCTCCAATTTGAGGTCACTGCAGTAATTCGACTGGAAGACCCCAAGAACAAACTCTCTTGTGCCGACCGCATAGCCTAGAATTAGATTATTAAGGTTAAGAATAAGCTGCCATGCAATTGAAGGATTATTCCTAGGTGGTAAACGTGTAATGGATATCAAGACCATGCACTGCTTGAATGTTACTCCAGGAAGGTATGAAACATAAATGTAGAAACAGAGCTATAAAAACCATTATCATCTATCACCCACTAACAACTATTTCAAATGGAAGAAGGCAATGTTTATGAAGAAAATGAAATCAATAAAGCTGAAATAGCATAAAAGCTAGTTAATGGAAACACAGTAACGTGAAGGACTTGTGAGTGCAAGTGAAACTTCCGAGCAAAAGAAGGCCTACAGGTCTAGATGCTCTGCAAACATGCAAATATATTCCGTGATAGTAAGAAACCAAAAAGAAGAGTAGTTGCAAACATGCCTTTCCGGGAAGTGGAGTTTCAGGCTGGAACATTGGGTTTCTGGGGTTATGGGTTATCGGCTCAGGGTGGGTTCTGGATGAGGAGAATTCGGGTGTGGGTGGTTTGGACCCAGATAGGATGTTGGTTTGAAGGATTTGATCAGTTGAAGTCTCATCCATAAAATTCGAAAGCCATTGTAGTTGAGCCATGTCATCATATTGCAACAAAAAAATTTTAATTTCATGTAAGCATTATAATAAATAAATAATTTCGTGCAACATGCAAATTAACTTATTTGAATTGGAAGGTGGTTTAGAAAGTTTTGGTCTAACAACTTATAAATAAATGAAAAACCAAAAAACAAAAACAAAATTAAGGGGTTATAAAGAAAAAATCCATTTAAGGGAAATAATTACTTACCATTAATATTTCTTGTTAATTAAAAACAACACATAATGGTTTTGAATTCTAACCCTAGTAATAATTTTCTTGTGTAAACAAGTCAAGGACTCGCTAACCTTGAATGCCCATAGAAAGGCCTATATCAGCCTATAATACAGAAAGGTAAAAGTGCAGTCAATCACAAGGCAGCAATAAACCAATCGGAAAGTTGAGCAACTAAAGTTGTTGGGAACAAGACCATGATGTAGTACAAGACCAGGTCCAATGGTCACAATTGCTGGAACTCTAGAACAGGTTCACAGGCATACGTTACGAAAAGGCAAGCAAAGAAAATACCTTGCAATTTCTATGTACCAGAGTTGTAAACTCTACCAGATGAACCTAGAATTTTTTGACACATAAAATCACATACAAAAAAGAAACAGGGATGACAAACATCATGAAGTGGGGTAGCATCATTTGTCCCATCTCCAGTTACGATGGGCTTGCATAAGCGAAAGCTTGGCATTAGGAGACAACCTCCCCATCACCTATGCATCATTACTTCTAAGTTAAACATTTTTGTCATGCTAAAAAAAAAAAAAAACACAAACCATCTAACTCAATTTCCAAAGGTAATTATAAGGTAAATTTCACTAAAACTCCACTTAGTGCAGTCAGAAATTTCATGCTGTTTGGAACAAACTCAAGCACAGAACATGGCATGCCTGCTTCTGTAAGTAACCATGCTGCCTACTGTGAAACCCACCTGATTCCTTGTCAATGTTCCAGTCTCATCACTGCAAATTGCTTTTGCAGAGCCCATACTTTCACATGCTGAAAGCCTACGAAACTGAATAATTATGCTGTTAGATAACTATCAGAGGAATTTATAGAAGGAAACGACTTTTAAGGAAAATAGAGAAAGAAACTTGCCAAGGCTTTAACTGCTGAGGCTTTAGCTGCCAACGCTTTATCTTGCAAGGCTTTAGCTTCCCTAATTTTCCACTCTCCATATGCCACACTGGAAAGCAATAGAGTAAAAAAAATAAGATGAAAATGGATGTGAGATAGTGATCACGAGATCAGCATGCAACAATATTATAGAGATGACCTTTACTTACATCAAGGTAACAAACAATAAAAGTCCCACAGGAACAGCAACAACCACAATTCTAACCTGAATAGTTATACATTTAGTCAGACAATTACATAGAACATAAACATAAAACAAATCCAGGGACTTCACTCACTGCAAAAGTAAGGATTTTTATCTCTCTGTCTATTGCTTTACTGACCGATGTCTCGCCTTTGATAAACTGAAAACTTCCATCTGGATTTTTTGTATTTCCAGTGAAGAATCGAACAAATTTACTGAAATTGTAGCTGGTAAATTGGTACACAAGTAATTTTACAAGAGGTAATTGAATAATAAAATTTACCCTACCGGCCCAAAAGGATGCCAAGCACAAAAAGAGCTACAACAAGCCCAACAATGCCAATAAAAGTTGCAAGTTTCTTCAATCGTACCTAGCACAATCATTAAGAGATAACTTTAAAGCTGCATCAAATCACATTTATTGACATTAGCTACAGTCAAAGTACCGAGAGTTGAGATGAAACCTTCAAGGGAGTCTCTTCACCAGTATCCTCTGAGATACGTGCCATCAACAAGCCCCGTTCAGTATTGATTCCAGCACCAATTAACTGAAAATGGCCAAGAAGAAATGAATCTACGAGGTGGTAAATTCAAATAACAAGGACCAAATTATTTTGAAAACAACAGGAAATGCTGCTTCTGATTATAATGAACAACATATAAAGGAAAAGTAAATGTGCTTTATAAAAATAACGGGATAATTACAATATAAGTATATCAACTTTCAATATTTTCTCAATCAAGTATATAAATTTTAATTTTTATACAATTTAAAAAAGTTATTAATTGTAATGTTATTGCAGTATTAAGTTTTTAAGAAGAACGAATATTTTTCGTTCAACAAAAAATTTTCCTTCGAAAATTTTATGTTATAAGTATTTGTTTTATACGAAAAAAAGTGAAAAGAATATTTATTTTTTACTTTTTTTTGTCAGTGAACAACAGAAAATAAAAGAAAATTTGATTTTCTTTATCAATTAGGATTATTTTAATAAAATACACTATTCAAAGTTTTGAATAGACAATTGCTCCTTTTATTCTAAAAAGATTATCCCTTTTGATTTTTCACATATTAAGAACGTTATTAATTGTTATGGTATATCAACATCTTTTATATTAGATGATGGTTTTACAGCTATTGATAAGATTTTTATTTTGATTTAACCAAAAAAGTAATAGATTTAGTCTCGATTGATATAAACTCTGATTTGAAGATACCTGAACACCTGTAAATGTATAATAAAAAATAAAAAATAAAAAATAAAAAATAAGAGTTTTACTTGAGTGAAAAGTGTTAGAAGAGTGTTTTATATATATTGTTGTTGGACCAGATACTCTCTAGAGAAAAAAACCTGATATCAAGAAAAAGCCTACCGAAATTTCTCCTTCTCAATCTGATACTGCAGTAAACATTAACAAAAAAATTAAATTAGTATAATATTTTTAATAGAATTAATTTTTATATCAATACTATAGATTAGCTTTAATTAGAATCATTTAGCAGTGGCCTCATGGGTAATTTACAAGAAAAAGCCTACCGAAATTTCTCCTTCTCAATCTCATACTTTGCATCATTTTCAGCTTTGAATATGCCAGACTGAAAAGCAATAGAGTACAAAAATAAGATGAAAATGGATATGAGATAGTGATGACTAGATTAGCATGCATCAGTATCTATACTTTCTGATTTAAGCTTCTTTCTGGGCGCATTGTTTCTTCACTGCCCAACACTCGCAATCACAGGAAATAGTCAACCACTTGACTTTTACTTTTATGAGTATGTCTTCCTTTATGTTCCGCTATCGTTGTCAAAAAATCCTAGATCTGAGAATAGGTCTGAGAAAAGGCCGATAAAGAGGCCCTAAGCAAATCAAGTTCAAAACCTCCGCATATAAACTCGTTTCACTAAATCAAACTCAGATTACGAGCAGTAAAAGAAGATGGCTCAAAAAAATATTAAAGCGTGACGTACCAATTTGCCGTTCCGCTGCCAACCCTGAGAATAATTAATTCCGCCAGAAACAACAAATAATCATCGATCAAACCACAAAAGATCGGGTGCTGTGTACCGCAATGTCGGAGGCGTTAGTTACGGAGGAAGTTACAGCTAGCTAGGGTTTGTTTTTGTTAGAAAATTGATGTATCAAACAACCGATAATAAGCAATATAAATAATAATAATAACAATAGAATAGTCCGGTTAGGTTGCCATGATCGGCGGAGACCGGACGGTGGTGGCGGCAGCTAAAAGGAAAAAAAAACCGGTGGGTTTAGGAAAGTTATTGACAGTTCGTGTGGAGTGTGTGGGTGGAGAGAGAGTATTTTTGTTGAAAAATGAAAATTATGAAAATAGGAGACTTCCTGATATTTTGCAATAACCTTGAGAGAAAAAGGAAAAAGTGACTTATGCTAGTGCTCAAGGAGAAAACTATTTTTTTTCTTATTTTCGCTCAATGTCATGTGCTCTAATTCCCTATGCTTTTTGTCATTTTTCTCTATAATAATTTCTCACTGACTTTGCTCCACCACTCCTTCTATTTATTTATTGGGTAAGAGTTTCCAAGGACAAGGACAAAGAGGGGCTACAAATAGTCCATAAAAGAACTTTTGATTATTATTTTTTAATCTTTCAATGATTAGAAGTTATTATGAATATGACTTTTTTGATCTTATATTCTAAAAAATTCATCATTATTCAATAAGGTTCAAATTTATCTTCGTATAAAAATATCTTTTAGGCTTTTAATTAAACATATTGATACAAACTTTTTTAGCCCAATTAATTATTAATTAATTTGGACTATTCAAATAAATTAGATCCGATGTTTTCGAAGGCTAACATTAGTAATTTTTTTTTCAAATGATCCTTAAACCTAAATTAGGAAACTATTTACTTTTCTAGGTTATTTACTTCCAAATTTGAAAGTGACTTCTAAATTAGAAAATTAATTTCTAAAATAGAAAAATTTCCTTTTTAGGAAACCTTTCATCTTAGGAAATTTTTCATTTCTGAAAACCTTTTTCAAAATAGAAAACTTTCAAAATTAGAAACCTTTTCTAACATCTTTGTTTCTCTTTTATCGTGTGAATGTTTAAACTTATGTATGTTACTCAATAAGTCTCACAGATATGTTGGCAACGTATCGAGAATAAAAGACATCTATTTTCCGAGTTCATGAGTTAAAAGACTTTGACTAAATTTTGTCATGTCTTATATATATATAACACATGAATTGAAGAGTGATGGTAAAATTATATGGAAACTTCTTGAATTATTGGCTAAACTCACGTATATTCATGATTCTTTTTAAGAATTATTTGATTATTAAATAATTTTTTTGGTAAATAATAAACTTTTTGGATTCTTTTTCCAGCCTAAAACTACATGTGCTGATGCTTGATATTTTTTTTCAAACTCATTCATTCAAAATTCTGAACAAAATTAATGTATTAAGATTTGAATTTGTGATTTTTTATAAGAGATCATTTCCGCTTCGAGTTCTTTAGTAAGTGATATGGTTTGAACATTTGACGCGTGAAGCGGCTTCATTAACTTTTTATTTTTTCTGCGATAACGGTAAATTATTGTTTTCATCCTCTTTGATTTGATTTTTTTTAGTTTTGATTCAGAATCAAGAAATGGCAACGGCAGCAGCCCAGCTCCGAATGTCTACATTTTCAAGGCAATACATTTTGCTACTTGCACCAAAACCAGAAAACCACAGATTCCCAAACCCCAACTCTCCTCCTCTCTTTTTCTCTTTTTCCATCCCTCTAAACCCCTCTCTCCGCCTCCTTCTCTCCAAACCAGCCCACCCTCCCAATGCCAGCAGCAATGGAACCAGCGGAGGCTTTGGTTGCAGCTGAGGTTTCCATGTAATTTAGCCAATAGTGATTGCTAGGAAGTTTTCAGTTAAATTTTGCAAGTCTCTTTCCAGAATCCAGCAGTTGTCGGACAACCTACTGGTATTTCTTATGTGAATTTAAGAATGAATTGAGGAAGATGCCAGGGTGGCTTCCCATATGAAAAAAGACATAGGAAGATGAGTAGGAGCAACACTTTTCCAGACTTTGAATAAGAGGGTGTTTTGATAATCTATCTATTTAGTTTAAAAAATTAAATTATAATACTTAATATAAAAAAATAATTTAATAATGTAAATAATCTCATATTTAATTGTATTACTATAAGGTCAAAGTAGTAATAGCTTGCTGTAAATTTTTTTTTAAAAAAATTCAATCTTTTTGTTTTCAACTTGTAACATTATTTGTTTCTTTTAGCATTGATCTATGTTTTGAATGGTTTTATGTGCTTTTCTTTGCTTTCTCTGTGTAGACAACGGAGATACAGATCAATGCTATTTTTTGACTTCTGAGAGCCATTTATTTTCCTTGTTATTCCCGATTCAAAAATTCAGGGAAGATGGAGCCTTTTTTTCCTTTCTTGATGGATTGTGATATATATATATATATATGCTAGGTCAGTGCGCCTATTACACAATAACAAGGAAAAATGATTAAATACACTTCATGTCCACGTATTATATTGAAAATCTCCGTTGTAGCATATCTATTCGGACATAATTCATTATAAATTTTATACTATTAGATATTGGTGCAAAATAACTAATTCGTTAATTTTTTTCGTTAAATTGACTAATTTCTATTAATTGACTAACATCTAACTAATCAAGTGACAACATATGACAATTTAAAAATAAAAATATAATTTTGCCTAAAATTAGTTTTTTTTTCAAGTTAAAATTGCTTTCTTGATACTTTTCGACGGTCCCAAAAAAATAAATGCATTTGAAAAAGATATTGTAAGTGCGCCTATTGCACAATAACAAGGATCCGTAAGCCATCCCAATTAATTTTGTGAACTGCATCTAGCAATTTGCCATGATAGAAATTATCTCAATAATAAGCAAGAAGAAACAAATAATGTTAGGCTTAAAGGAGCCTACAACAAATTATATATACATATATTTGTCATACCAATAAGAAAAAGATATTGTAAATTCACAATAAACCTTGAAACTATTGTATACAAGAGGCCTGAATCTACATGACCCCAACATTACTACGAAAACAGTTCTTCTTCAATGACTTGCCTGAGTATTAAAGCATTGCTTCTGCCAGACATTTCTTTTTCCAATGACTTGCTCGCACCTTCCAATAGTTTTCATTCTTCTTCAGACGTTGGTTTTTCGCTCGGACTGTCTTTAGCTTGGTCTCAAGACTTTGACATTTCTCTTTCCACTGATCTGACGTATATGTGAGAGACTGTAAATCTTGTGGAGTCATTATCTTGTACCCATCTCTATCGACATGTAACCATGACTCCAGAAACCTGTATCCCAAGGCAAATCATCCCTCCAATGAGTGAGTACGAAACCAATCAGCATAACCACGTTCCTCATCCTCTACCAAATTGGAAGCATCGAGCCCCCTACAAAGATCCAGAGTAAAGACTTTTTGGATATCATTTGACCTGTCACTAAATCGTTTAGCTGGAGGAGGGTGAGGAATTTCGAACTTGTGACCAAACTGACAAAGATTCCTCTCCCTCATACACACCTCACAGCTTTCCAACCCTTGGAAAACCATCCTTTGCTGGGAAATCACTACCTCATGCTCATAGCATTCTTTCTCCAATAATTCTTCGTAAGGATTAAAGTTAACCTGCCAAAAGACTCCAGTTGTAAGTAATTTAAGCAGACAAGAAAAACAGTGAAATTGAAAAGGTGGTGAAGGAAAATAAAGACCTCATCTTCTTCTAAATACTCCAACTCCAACCTGTACCATATGAAGTCACTTAGGATAGGAGCCTCCATCTCTGTCAACTCCCATCTACAAGCTCGAGGAAAGGTGTCAAGACCCAATTCAGTCACTGGTCGCATGCAGGGAAGGTGCTCATAAGCCCAGAATAACAAGAAAGGGTAAAAACCCGAAAATGGACCGCTGCATTGAGAAGTTTTCACCTGGATACCCCTCAAGAAGGCAGAAAAGGTAGCCACTCCCCAGTCATACCAACTGATCGTCTGAATATTGCTCATTACATAAACTAAGCGAATTGGAACCATCAAATCAGTCCCACTGAAAAAACAAGAACCAACGAGATACACAATCAGCCTTCTAAACATCCAATCTAAGTCATCTTCAACTGGATCCTTAGTGAAGTCCAAAGTACCAAGGCACAAAGCATCTAGCTTAAATTTACCCTCGGAGAAAACCCCTTTAGTGCTCTTAAGTCCAAGAAGCTTAGCACAACCTTCAGGTGTAATGTCCGGAGGGTTAAGGGAATCACCACCAAACCGAATGCCAGTAATCATAGTCCAGGCCAAAGGTGTTGGACCAATTTTGAAAGTACCAAGATGTGATGTATGAGTCTCAGAGAAATATCGTTCTGCTAAAGCACACATATAGCCTGACAAGTTAATCATAATGGGTCGTATCTTCAAGAAGTCAGCAAAAACAGCTTCACGCAAAAGCCCCTTGTAAACCTCCGCTGCAGCAGACCATATGTCAAATGCCTGATTCCAAACATTTTGAGGTGTAAGATCACGATGAGGAGGTGGCTGCAAGATATAGGAGATGATATTAAGAATAAAGCGTTGGCAACACAAAAACAAGTGAACTGTGGTGGGATCTTTTGGCATTCAGCGGGGGTTTTATCAAAAGTAAATGGTACAAGGCTTGTCTATGTGTCTGGTATTCCTGCAGATGCTAAGTTGGAAGCTGTTATAGAAAATGGAAATTGGTTTTGGCCCAATGCTAGAACAGATGCTATTCTTGAACTGCAGGGTTCTAATGTGGTGTCCTTAATTTTGATATGGTTTCTAAAGACAAAGTAACATGGAAAACCAATCCAAATGGTGAAATTACTGCTAGAAGTGCTTTGGAGCTGTTGAGAAACAAGGGAACTAGAGTTGGATGGCATAAACTGGTCTTGAATTTCATGGCTAGATTGTATACAAGAGTTAAACAGGTTTGTATGGGGAGAAACATTAATTGCCCATACAGGCTCTAAGATTGTTTAGGGTACTATTAAGCTCAAATGTTGCTTTGATAGAACGATTCACAACTGGATCATGGAGTTTCAATGGGCTACAGAACATCTGCAGGAGAGATGTTTTCAATATGTCATTGCCAGGTTCTTCTAGAGATGATTTGTTTAAGTGGATTTGTCAGGTTGTTCGCTGCACAATATATAAATCTGAGCTACAAGCAGAACCAGATCCTAGTCCTAAGTTTCATACTATTTTTAACCAATGGATGTTGGCTTAATCTATTTCATGTATTTCTTATGGATTCATACTTTGTTTCATTTTGGTCAATGAAAATCTACTCATTTATCCAAAAAAAAAAAAAAAAAAAAAGATAAAGATAAAGCTATAGGATCTCACAAATGAGAGAACGAAAATATACCCGACCAAGATGAATGTAAATTGAGGGATGATTTCGCAATCCAGTAAAAAAAGGCGTAGGTTGTATGGCCTTTCCCTCTTCACGAAATGGCAGCCTTTGCACGACTGCAACGACCACCTGCTCTTCTAACTTTTTTAGCTCAACAAGAACCCTCCTGCTCACACAAATTGTGATTTTCAACCTCAGCAGCTTCTGGGGCCTTAGGGGCACTGTCCTTAATAGCAACATCATTAGGGGCACCATCCTTAATAGCAACATCAGTAGTGTAAAAACCCACAATGCACTTAAGATGTAATATTGCAAAAACCGATTTGAACAATGTTTGGTAATTCAGCGTTGACTCTAGAAATAATTACCCTGCATCGCTGAAGTCTCTCAAGAAGAATGATTTCGGTACTAGCAATATCAAAAGGATCGGATTCATCAACTAAATGGCGATTATTAAGATCATCGTCCTCATCAAATTCCTTAGTAGGTTGTATTGCCTTCCCTGGTTCTCGAATGGCAGCCTTTGCATGATTGCAATGACCACCTGCTCTCGTAACTCTTTTAGCTCCATAATCACCCTTCTGCTCACATGAATCGCTGTTTTCATCCTTGGCATCTTCTGGAGTGTTAGGGGCACTGTCCTTAATACCAACATCAATAAAGTCACAAGTGGAGCTGCAATTTGAAGTAGGTTCAGTAATTTGAGTGGAAGACCCCAAGTGATCGAGTAATTTAGCCTGAAACAATAAATAATCAATCATTGAACAAGAAACAAGACAGTGATCTCAAGTGCATGACAAAAATGCTCGATCAGTAACATCAGAAAAACTACCTTTATGACTTGCCGGGGGACTGCCATCCTCCTTATCCAATGCTTTTTTTCTCTTCTTTACCTCCGCGAAGCATTTACCTTGCACATTGCTTTCTACGAAAGACAAAAACATCTCTAAATGCAACCAGAGAAAGGAAAAATAAAAAAGCAACATAGAAAATGAAACTGGAAATAACAGTGTATAAAAACCCATAATGCACTTAGGATGTAATTGATCTTTCTATTTTCGGATTCATTTTATGCAAAGTTGAAAGCCCTTCCCTACAGATTAAAAAAAGAAAAAACACCAAACCTTGGAATTGATTAAAGTGCCACTCTAGCTACGTGAGAGATGTAATGTGGTGAGCACTAAATTATGGCTAGCTGATATCAACATAACATGATCATAGCTAACTAGCTGCAATCATTTAAAGGTTAAAAGGGTTTCATATGATACCTGTCTCAAACGTAAAAGCTGCAAGATACTCCTGGTCTTGGGGTGCATGGCATTGATACTGGAAACCAAAATTTTACCATATATTAAAAAAATCACACAAAACCATCAAACTTAACAAACATACCAAAAACTAACAAAAAAGGAAGCAACATATCCCCGAATGCGAATAATAAACAAGAGCTTAGCCTCAGGGTCAACATAAAATCCACCCTTCAACCTTGCCTCACACTTTAATTGTACGAGTTGCTCTTCCCAAGAACTCCAAAAAGGAAAATTTACTCATATCAGTTTAAAGAGGGAAAGGTATAATTCACTGTGCAAATACTCACAGTAGCTACTGGTATAGAACTCATATCTTTAGGTTAGACAAGCTAAAACACAATAAACAAAATAAGAAATGAGCAAACCTCTGTCTTGATTCCGAATCCCAATGATGTTATAGCAGCTAAAATCAAGATGATGATGGTTAAATTTTGCCAAGCTTCCCAGAGGAACCTCTGCAATACAAAGTGCATGGTAAGCAAAATATTTGTAATTCTAAAAAGAAAGAAATAAGAAAATACAAGTTCCAAACCACATATTAGACCAAAAAACTGCATCCTTTTTTCTAAGGATATCTCTTCGCTCCAAATGCATACCTATGCATTACCGAATCATTCTCCTCTCCAATAATACCAGTCGCAAGATTGGTTTTCAGCATATCTATTTAAGTCGAAAAATCATGATCCCTGGCAATTTATTCAAGTTGCTCTAGTCCAATTGCATAATCACCAGTAGCAGTTGGAGGTGTAACCGAGGAAGCCAACACTTGAGAAGCAGAAAATAAGTTAACACAGATAATCTATTTAAGTGGAAAAAATACAGCCCCGAAACTCCAAAACAGCAGATTGCAATATGTACAAAAAAAAAAAAAATCCGCCATTATATTATATTTAAATCCAAATTTTATTTGAAGGATTGTGACAATAATTCCTTTCTTCACTACTTCAATCCAAACCCATTTTGGCCGAACTATTCCCTCCTCCGCTCAAATACTTAGTCCTAACTTATCTTCAGATATATCCATCTTAATATTCTGATTTAAGCTTCTTTCTGGGCATATTGTTTCTTCACTGCCTAACGCTTGCAATCACAGTAAATAGCAAACCATTTTGACTTTCCGGGCATACGTTTTTTTTTTCAAAAAAAAAAGAGAACCAAGAGAACATAAAAAAAAGATCACTTGTGTTTGATGATACAAGCGATTAGTCAAACTATCGTTAGTTTGACTAGTAAATTAATCTCACATATTAACACGGAGGGTGGAGTGTTTGTCGTTTTAAAGCAGAAGCACAAGAGATTGGTCAAAGATAGATTTGGTGCTTCCCTAACATCCTAACTTGCAAGACAGTTGTATCGTATAAATTTCGTGGGAGAGCAGTAAGCTGTCCCTGTGGTAACCCACCAAGTCGCTTAAAGTTAAGGGCCCATATTTGTCCAATACAAGTTTATAAAGAAGCCCAGTAGAAGGTGGAAACGAAGCCCAAATTAAAAGACCGATAAGAATTACCATGGGCTAGGGCTGAACAAGAAATCTAGTTTTAAACATCAATGAATTTTTGAAGGAGCTGAAGAGTGGAA